CGTTATTTTCTGTAAATTTTAAAAGATTTTTCAGCAAGAAACTCCCCGATTTGGTAAATTTTCTTTAAACAAATCAAAAAAATTTAAAAATTGACCAAAAAATGTTATTTTCGTCTACTTGAATAAATTTAAGCGTATTTGCAACGCATTATTTTCTATAAATTTAAGAAAGTTTTTCACCCAGAAACTCTGATTCGGTAAATTTTGTATAAACAAATCAAAAAATTTGAACAAAATGCGTTATTTTTGTCTACTTAATAAAAAAAAAGTAGAAGAAACAGCAAAATTAGAGCATAAATTTACTGAAATTAAAAAAAAAAAACAGATTAAAATAATTGTAAATTACGCCTGAAAATTTTTAGTTTGTTTTCTTTTATAAATCTAACGAATTTTTACCAAGACACAAAAATATATTTTTTCAAAATTTCAAAGTCAAGAATTGTCAATTAAATTTGAGGTGGATTATTTTTTATCTTTTTTGATAGATTTAGAGCGTTTTTGATTAGTAAACTCTCATCATTTGAGAAATTTTGACAAAACCAAACAAAAAATTGCAAAATGAGGTCTGAAATGTCTAATTTTTATAAATTATAAAATTGTAAAAATTTGACTAAAATGTGTTATTTCCGTCTACTTGCATAAATTTCTTAAGCGATTTTTGAAAAAAGAAAGATAGAAAAATGCTAAATTGAAGCAAAAATACGTATTTTTTATAAGTTTAGTAGGAAATTAACAAAGTTAAAAAATGTAATAACAGAGTTAAAAATTGTAAAATCACGCCTGGAAAACCTATTTCCCGTTGTAATAACAAACTTTCCGCAACTTTTATATGATTTATAATAAACGAATATTAGTCGAGTTTATTAAAATTGATATGAACTCCATTTGTTTATACGGTTGTGAATTATGACCCAATTTATTTTTTGGAACAAGAATTCAGTTTCGAGTTGTAAAAATAACAGAAAGCTTAAATCGAGTAAAGAAATTAAAAATTAACACTTTAATCTTTAAATTAAAAGAAGCGAATCTTCGCGTTATTATTTAAAAGGCGTTGTAAAAGTTTTTCGTTTTATTCTCGCGAAATGAATAATTTCGCACTTCCAAATGACAAATAAACCAACTTTGAATGAAGCTCTTAAATTAACCTGAAAACGTTGAAAGTAATTAAGTTTGCTACCAGCAAAGTTTAAACAGAAATAATAACGACTAATGCTACAAAGAAGCTTTGTTATTATATCTATATTGAAATTCCGGTGATGAAAAAAGTTCGATTATTGCATTAATTTTCAGGACCTGCTCCTGATTCAAAGTTAACTTTTCAGACTAAATACGTTTAACTAGAGTCGGAATTTTGTTTTCGTACTTCAAAGAAAATTAATCCAGTTTCTATTTCATAAATTTAAGCGAAATTTAGGCAAAAATGTTGAAACAATTAAAAAGAAAACAGTATAAAAGTCTACTTGACAAAAGAGCGTGGAAAAAATAGCAAAATTAGGGCAAAAACAAGTATTTTTCATAAATTCAATTGTAAAAATAAGAAAAAATTGTTTACTTGTTTTTTTTATAAA